ACACGTTTGTATAAAGGGAGGTAACGTCGAAGGACTCCACCACGCACGCGCTGTTGGGCTGCGCAGTACGTAGACGATCCAGAAACATCTGGGTATTCGCAAGATGGGCTGGAATGTGTTTCAACAACTGGTTAAATATTAGGGTTAAAAACCATGTTATCCTGTCCGTTGGCCCGTCTACGCAGCTAATGATAGGTCTAACCTTAAATAGTGATGGATCGTTAGACGCAAGATCATCGCTTGATACTAACTTATGAGTTTTTATAAGTAAGTACAAGACGGGNAAGATGGGCTGGAATGTGTTTCAACAACTGGTTAAATATTAGGGTTAAAAACCATGTTATCCTGTCCGTTGGCCCGTCTACGCAGCTAATGATAGGTCTAACCTTAAATAGTGATGGATCGTTAGACGCAAGATCATCGCTTGATACTAACTTATGAGTTTTTATAAGTAAGTACAAGACGGGGCATGTTGCAAAGGCAACTTTAAGTTGAGAGATAACTGATGGATTCAAACCAGCAGCCCTTGCCATTTTGACCCATTCGTGGTTTTGTTTTCGGTATTTACTTTTCGGTACTGTTTTGATTTCCTCCTCAGATGATGGGCGATAAAGCGAAGCATCCTCAAGATGCTTTTTCGTTATCTCCATATCTAACTGATGAGGAATTACGACAAACTCTCCACCCTTATCACTTGCGGAAAGTCTTATGGTTTTCAACCTTATCAGCTCTCGTACCTCTCGCATACCACGTTTTTGCACTGGAGTGAGGTTTGAGCTGTATCTTTTCGCGCGATAGTGATTAAGGACTTTGAGAGTTTCATTCGCAAACATCCGAAATTTAACACCAACTTCATTATTGGGCTCTTGTTGTCTAAAGAACGTCGGGGGAAATGGTGCTATTGGTAGGGCCCCCACTTGATGTCGTTCGCACCTTAGAGAATTCGGTGAGCGTAGTTGAAATACCACCGAGTAATCTTAAGCGCCAGCTAGTTCGTAACCGCCTATATGAC